ATATATTTTTAAATTTTTAAATTTAAAAAGAAAGGGAATATCTACACTCTGAAGAATCTAAGACCTAAATAAGCTCAGTGCCTTGAGAGATTTTTTACCTTGACTACAAATTATATGATATACAAATTTATGACTACTTTTGCTGATGGAATGTGGTTTGCTGGTAGGGGTAGTAAATCGGAAATGAGTTTAACATTTGCTTTATCGCAAATGTAGGATAAGGTATTTCACGCTTTTGTTTGTGAAGCGTTTCAGAATCCAAATAAGATCTGAAATTACCAAATTTCAAATGAAATCCGATTAGCGTCAAATGGGTTATGCTTTATTCATGATAAATAAACAGCTTCCAAGGAACGCTTATCAAAAGCCAAAGATTTCACAGAACTGTATTGTTTATTCATATGCTATGCCAAAAAGAACCGAAAGGCAAATGTTTTCATCCGTCGGCTGTTGGGTGTATATTAAATATTATTCATAATCTGCATTGTTTTGTTTAACTTTGGCTGTGTTTAGCTGCTCTTACTGCATAAAATGTAATTAATTCATTTAGCAGACGAATTGCATAACAACAACAAGAGCAGCAATAGAAGCAACAACAACAACAATGCGATTTCATTATTATTCGTTCATTTCTGGCATTTTTTCTCAGCTTGTTTTGTTATTTCTTTTGATAAATATTTATGGCTCTTTCATTTGTTTTCTTTCGTCTCAGTTGCTGTTGTTGTTGTTGGGGTTCCTTTGCTTACAATTCTATTTTATTTAATTTAATTAGTTTAGCTTTATTTTACATTGCTTTGCTTCAGCTGCCCTGCCTCACTCTGCTCATCCACTTTCAATTCTCACTTCATAAAATTCCGCATTCCTTACACTGTCCTACACACACACACACACACACATGCAGATAAATACATAAATTCTTGCTGTTCATTTTGTTTAGTTTAGTGCTTTCTTGTTGCTGCTGCTGTTGCTATACACATTACATAAAATCTCTAATTGGCATTTCCGCTGCAAGCAGCCAACTCAGCTGCTGCTCCAATTGGAAAAATCAAAGAATAAACCTTGCATTGTTCTGCTTGACTCAAATGAAGTCAAATATTTCTCAATTACGTAAATTTGTTAAAATATTATGAAAACACAACATTTATTAAATATAATACATCTGCTACATTTTCAAGGTTTCTAGCGAACAGCTTAAAAGTATGCTGCAGTTTTGTTTACCAAAAAGAATTCCGATATAAATGCTAATCAGAGAAACATTGTCTGTAAGTTTTAGTAAAACTCTTTGTTTATTGTACATTAAATCATAAAGTTTATTTTGCCTTTATAAATAAAACAACAGTAAACAAATTGCACAATTTTTCATTGTTTGAATATTACAAAATTTTCACAATTCAAATTAATTTGAATTTTCAAATATTTTGCATATATAAATATACATTTTTAAAATAATTAAAAACCATGGACACCGACACCATTACGTATTATATAGTATGTATGTAGTTGTATATAGTTCTAATAATCTATGCATTTTAATCGTATTCAGTTGGTTCGGCCATCAGGCAGCGTCGGCTGAATAAACTTTAATAAAACGTTCTTAAACAAGTTAAAAGCAAATACCACATGACTAAATTCTACGCATATAAAACTATATATACCTATATATATATATGTATTTATTTATATTTTCATATAGGCTTCTTTCTGCGTTTATTCATCTTTTTGTGTACGCATACAAAATCTACAAACAATTCGTTTTCTTATAAGTTTTATTCAATTTGCTGAGGCGTAGAAATCGCGTAAATCCGGAACGTCTTCAGTTTGTTAGCACAGTTTTACTTTGTTTTTAGTGAATCAATTCCTTATTTTTAGAATATCATATCTAGCACTTGTTCAGCACGGATTTACCAGCGATTTGAGTATCTTATAGTTGTTGAACATAGTTTTTCATTTGTATAGACTTATTATATAACTGAAGATCAACGGTAAGTCTGTTGAAGTCTATAAACTAATACATATTATATATATTTCATTTAAAACGTTTAGCAGCTGCTTTTAAAATATATTTTCTGTTTAAGTTCTATTTCAGTTATGGCGTTTTCTGGACAGCATCGTAAATAATATTCATCGTGCAAAGTATTCACTCAGTTTATTCAAGACATTCAATTGCCTTACTTCAGTTTGTATAAATCAAATATCATGTTAGATGTGATATAGGAAAAGATTAATAACTAAATCGCATTGCGCTCGCCGTTATACAATATATAGTTCTATACTTATATATATATAGACTGCTTTAATATATATATTTATCACTGTTGCTGGTTTAACTTGATGCTATTGTTGCCGACTGGCCTAAGCTGTGGCCTCCGCCGTTTCCGCCTCGAATACCTCATCGGACTCCTGGCCAGCCGCGTATTCCTCCCGTTCCTGCTCGGGATCTTCCCCATCCACGTCGTCCTCTTCGTAGTCCTCGGGATACTCGCCGAACTCTGAGGACTCACCAAGCGTCCAGGCATCGTTTTCCATTGAATTTCTTGGGCTGTAGTTTATGCTGCCCGTGATGGTCAGATTGTTGGCCGGACGAAGGACACTGAGAGAGCGAGAGCCAAGCGCATGGGCAGGAGTAGACAAAATGAGATCATGATTAGATATCGATAAGGCAGTATAGACCATATCAGTTGAATGTATTCAATGAGTGTAGCGAATACAAAACAAGTGCTAAACTAGCGACTAACTAAGCTTTTTAATAGTTGTCTTATATAGTATATGTGTGTGTGAATGTTGTATTAGTTTGAGGTATCATTAGGATTATTAAAGGTAACGAGAACACGAATTAGTTTTCAAGACAAGGCAAACATTTGTACAGCTAACGAACAGTTGTTAGATTTGTTATGGAGTTAGTTGACTGCTAGCCAAATGCAATATGAATATGATATACTAAATACTTTAGATTGGCCCAGCTAACACAAGGCTAATTTTGATTGGTTGTCCTACAAAGTTTACGACATTTCCGACAATTGCACAAATCGATTGCGAGCAGGAATATATAACATATCTCTATATATATATATATATAGCAACGTATAAAATGAGTTCAATGCAAACAGATAACAAACAGTAACGAGCAACTAGCAACGAGTAACGATTAACGAGTAACGGGCAACGAGTAGCGAGTGGCAAGTGGCAAGTGGCGAGTAGCAAGTGGCATTGGGGCAACTTCTCTATTACATTGGCAAACTCGTTGGAACTGTGCAGCAATTCGTTGTCGTTGTCGCTGTCGCTGTCGTTGGATTAGATAGATTCGTAAATGTACAAACGAGTTATAATCCGTATAAGAATTCGTTGCTTGGTTTCGAATTGATACTAGAACCGGGCTCTAGTAACACAATCAAGATTAATTACGTAGGAATTCGCTGTGGTCGGCTCTGCTTGCACCATATTAAATGTAGTGTAGAAGAGATGTGTGTGTGTGTGTGTTCGGTGTGTTTGCGTGTGTGTGGAAAGATAGTAGTCGAATGTTGTGGTGTTGGTGTATCTTGGTTACAGATCGGTCACTAGCACACCATCCGTTGGTCATAACAGTCCACGGCGATAGTGTGAGCGTGATGGTCTACAGAGATAGCAAAGAGGCGGTTTGCGTAGGTTTGTTTAGGTGTTGGTTGGTTGGTGTACAGAAATTAAAAGAAAAAGAAAATAATTAGCAAAATTATAACATAAATAGGGATTATACATTGTTTTTAACTAAATGTCCTACAATTTTGAGAGACTATTTAGA